AAGGTGAGAGAATGGAACAAAGACAAAATCAATGGCTCTTTATCATAGAATTCCTACAGTGTGGAAGCAGGCCATTCAGTCCATTGAGTCCACACTGACCCTCTGAGGAGCATCCCACTCAGACCCACCCCTCCAACCCTATCCCTGTAAGCCTGCATTTCCCATGGCTAATCCACCAAGCCTGCATACTATGGGCCATTTAGCATGGCCAATCCACCTAACCTGCACATCTTTGGGCTGTGGCAGGAAACCCATGCAGACACAGGGAGAACATGCTAAATCCACATATCCAGTTGCCTGAGGCTGGAATCAAACCCAGGTCCCTGGCACTATGAGGCAGCAGTGCTAACCACTGTGCCACCCTATCTTTAAGTAATTGTTACTAATCTTTACTTAAGTGCATATAGTATCCAGAACAAAATAATGGCATAGCTAGAGGTTAGTGGGTGTGACCGTATAGCCATTACAGGAATGAGTGATGATGAGAAGTAGCATTGACATGTGTGAGGGTCAGCGGGATAAACACATGAGCGTGAAAAGCAGAAAAGATTAGGCAGTTGGCAGCATAGTGCCTTAGATGTTGCTGAAAAAAAGAGACAGGTTAATGAAACATCTCATCCTGCACTCTTCAGGAAAGATGCAACAGTGACAAACTTTAAACAGCTACAACAACTTGTATGACAGGAGAGAAGGGGTATTGATTCAGTTGGCAAGTCAACTTAGATTGGCCAAGGAGTTGCCATGGAGAAATCAGGATGAGAAATAGGTGGGCCGTGCTTCTGGGAAATTCAGCAATGTGCAGAGCTTGAATAGGGTCCTTTCTGTAAAGAATGGGCCCGGTAAATGATTGTACATCTCTCCGAACAAAACTCCAAATTGAAACATGTCCTGTTAGTTGTAATTTGGCTCTCGGGCAGCACTGCACATCCCGTGAATGAATTCGAAAAGAAATTGAGGACAGGTTGCATTGCCAATCTAAGTGTTACACTGAGAGAGGTTTAAAATGAATAAAAGGCGATGGTGGATAAAGAGAAAGTATTTCCTTTGGATTAATTCTGGAACCAACTTTATAAAAGGGATGTGATAGCACTGGAGAGGGGGGAGAGGAGATTTACCAGGATCTTGCCAGGGCTGGAGAGAGATTGGACAGATTGGGATTGGTTTCCTTAGAGGAGAGGAGATTGAAAGGGGAAATGATTGAGATGGAGAAAATGATGAGGGGCATAGAAAGGAGGAAACCTTTCCCCTTGATGGATGGATTCTCTGAGCAGGAGCATGGGTTTAAGGGAAGGGGTAGGAGGTTTAGAGGGAATATGAGGAAAAATGTTTTCACCCAGAGGGTGGTGGGAATCTGGAACTCAGCCTGTAAGGGTGGGAGAGGCAGAAACCCTCTTAACATTGAAGATGTGTTTAAATGTGCACTTGCAATGCCAAGGCATACAAGGCTATAGACCAAGTGCTGGGAAATGGGATGAGAATCATTAAGGTGGTTGTTTTTTGACTGGCGTGTACTCAATGGAATGAATGGCCTTTGTTCTGTGCCATAGATCTCTCAAACTCTGGTTGCGGAATGTCGGAACAAGAAGGTGCCAGCATATTGGAGCTAGGTCATTCACAGAGTACAGTGGAAAATCTCTCCCTGTCTCCTACATAAAGCTTTTGCGTCAATGGGAGAGTGGGGAGTTAAAAATAGCAAAGCTAAAATTGAACTTCTAAGAAGAAAAGTTTCTTATTAGGTTTTTGGAATCACACTAGGTACATGGAGTTGTGATACAAATTAACTACCATTTAATGAAATTGTAGAACAGTCCCCAGGGGCTGAGTGGCCACATTCTGATTCTAAGACACAACTTTAAAAGCCCTTTATGCAACAGCAACAATGACCTCAGAGTATCTTAGAGAGAGCAGTCAAACCAATGGAGCAACATTAGAAGTGTAGGCCCCGTTGTAATGTAGAAAATGATTAACATTTCGATAAAGAAATTAACATTTTGGAGATAGTTCCCACTGAGTATATGGCCAGGGTTTGCATTGAGAAATGTGACTGTGGATGAGGTAGTTTTTGGTACAAAATGACGGGAAGTTATGGCAAGAAAACCCCCACAAAACGGTGATGCAAAGGAAGCCACAACAAAGCAAGTCTGAGTACCTGAAGCTCTCTGCCCTGCTGTCCTCATTTAAGGAGCTCTCTAAAACCTCAGCCTTACAGCAAGCTTTCAGACACCTGTCCTATTCCCTCAGGTGATGTGGGATCAGCCCTGCTTTGATAACAATCCTCCAGACATTGTACAATATTAAAAGCACGGTATAAGTGCGTGACAACAAGGTGCAGGGCTGGATGAACACAGCAGGCCAAGCAGCATCATAGGAGCAGAGAGGCTTAGTGATGTTGTTGCTCAATGAACTTAACATATCACCGCATGAATTTCCCATGTAGCAAATAATTTCACACAATTCATATGCTGTGACGAACAGACAGTGTCTGATATTAGCAGGAGGACAACGACCCTTCCAGATTTATAAAAGATCTGAGTATGGTTTATCATTATGTTTGATACGTTGTTTACCTCAGTTTAGAACTTGTTTGGCAAAAAAATTGATTATAATTCTTAAATATTGACTGTGTGTGTGAGAGAGTGTGTGTGTGTGTAGTAAAAGCTACACAAGATTATTTTAGTAAGTGTTTGGAATCCTGTATTTATTTTTCATGCTGTACTGTGTAAATTTGATGTATTCTGATGCCAAGGGAGTTTCCCTCGACATTCAAAATAACTCACTCTGTTAAAGGTGGAAGTCATTTGCGTGTGAATAAATTAGCTTTGAGATACTGGTCTAGATGTGAAGCATAAATATCACTTCTGAGTGTTTTTCTGTGCATGTGAGTCATTTCAAAAGTGTGCTGTGAAGTTAAAGTTCACATCACAAAATATGTAGAGCAAAGAAAGAGGCCATTTCACTGTTATATTATTCCACTCCCCTTCATCTTACTCAATCAGCATATTCCTCACTTCAAATATTGCAGAAAAGCAAGACACAGTGCCAAATTTCGTGTTGTGTTCGTCAGGGCAATCACAAGAATGCTCCAATTTCAATTTCACCGAACAGCAGTGAGCCATGTAATGACACTGAACTGTTTGTTAATTTAGTTGTTAGCCAATGTTTGTTCCCCATCCCTAACTGCTATGGAACCAAGTGGTTTGCTTCGTTATTTCAGTGGGCATCAGAATCAGCCACGGTCTGGTGTCACATGTAGGCAGATCATCTCCCGACCCGAAACGTCAGCTTTCCTGCTCCTCTGATGCTGCCTGGCCTGCTGTGTTCCTCCAGCTCCACATTGTGTTATCTCAGACTCCAGCATCGGCAGTTCCTATTACCTCTGAGCTAAGGATAGCAGATGCCTTCTCTAATGGACATTAGTGAAGCAGGCTGGTTTTAATAACAAGGTGCCAATGTTAGACCGGGGTGGACTTTGTCGTCACCTAATGAAGGAGCAACTCTCCGAAAGCTTGTGATCTTTAGATAAACCTGTTAGACTATAACCTGGTGTCAAATAACTTCTGACTTAATAACAAGTGATGGTGGTCACATGGTTGCCATTGATTTAGCTTTTAATTCCAGATTTTTATTGAATTCAGATTTCACTGTCTACCACAGTGGGAATCGAACCCAGGACATAAGATCCTGGGGTTCTGGGTGGCTGATCCAGTCAATTAACCACTACGACTCCTTCAATACCTCCAATTCAATTCTGATGAATTTAGCCCATCCAGAATCAACATATCCTTCCTGGGGGATGTTCACAGATCTGGGCAGTGCTGTCTGGTTGGGTTTTTCCCTTGCATTTGTAGACAGGATGTAGGCATCAGTGGTTGGATCAGCTGTCATTACCCACCCCTTAGTGCCCTTTGAGAAGGTGTTGGTGAGCTGCTTTCTTGAACTGCTGCTCTCTGTGTGGTGTGGGCACACCAACGGTGCTGTTAGAAAGGAGGTTCCAGGAATTTGACCCAGTGGCACTGAAGGAATGGTGAGACAGGAAGTTGTAGGTGGCGATGTTCGCATGGATCTGTGTTGTCAAAGGAGCCTCCGCTGGGTCCTGCACTGTCTCTTGTAAATGAGACTTTTTACTGCCGCTAAGCATCAGTGGTAGAGGGAGTCAATGTTGAAACAGCTCCAAATAATTGTAGTGCACTTTCCAAACCTCTGTATTCCAGCCTGCTTGAAGCAAAGACAAAATTTCCATTCATATTTTTTAATTTCTTTTTATGCCTGTCCACTTCTTGTTTTTAAATTTTTTGTTTTTGCTGGGGGCCCTGAGCCTCATCTCTGACTGGGTTCTGATTGGTCTCTAGATTGGATGGGCTGAATGGCCTCATTCTGCTCCACTGAGCATGGTGGCTCAGTGGTTTGCAGCCCTGCCTCACAGGGCCAGGGACCTGGGCTCAATTCCAGTCTCGGTGACTGTCTGTATGGAGTTTGTAGGCTTTCACCTGTGTCTGCGTGAGTTTCCTCCAGGTGTTCCGGTTTCCTCCCATAGTCCAAAGATGTGCAGGTTAGGTGGATTGGCCATGGGAAATGCAGGGTTACAGGGATTGTTTAGGGGGCCCCTCATGTCTTTTTTAAACCTCTCTCCTCTAAGTTAGATCTCATCCATCTCCGTTCATATTCTGAGGGTTTAGTTTGTGCAGAGTGTTGCTAACAAGCGAAGTCAATTCCTTGAAACAAAACAACAAGAGAGAGTTGTCCCTGAGCTGATCTGGTGATCAAATCAGAGAGAAAGGAGAGAGAGAGAGAGCTACTTTTTTAGCTTTGGTCCTAAAGAAAGGCAAATGATCATCATTGGTCACCACAGTTTCAATCTTTTTCTGATGCTCATGAGGATTCCTCTCAAAGCTGAGCAGCTTCATTGAGACAGATGCTGTGTTAAATGAGCAGAGACAGGGGTTAGGATTTGTTCAGAAGCATGACTGTTTTTGTTAACATCTTTCTCCTCTCGACTGCAGGTTTTAGAGAAACTGAGGCCGTACTTGTGTGAGAAAGTCATTGCAGAAAGGCATTTTGATTACCTGCGAGCAAAAAGGATATTGTCGAAGGAAGATACAGAGGAGATTTCCTACCAGGGATTGAATAGACGAAAGACTGGAAAGTTACTGGATTACCTGGCAGAGAACCCGAAAGGCTTGGACACGCTGATCAACTCCATCAGGCGGGAGGGCACACAGAACTTCCTCGTTCAGAGAATAACAGACGAGGTGCAGAAGATTAAAAACGAAAAGCTGATCCAGAAAGGTAAAAAGAAATAGATTTTCTGCTCTCTCATCACATCAAAGGATGTGTAAACTGTTGTTCCCTTTGCAAAGTGTGGAACCTCCAGTATAGTTTGTCCTTGATAATGCCAAACCTTTTTTACATCATTGTGTAGACTGTGTGCTGCTAGCATTCCGTCTTTACTGTCATTTTTAATGGATTACACAAATTCAGCGAAAATCCCAAAGCGCAAAAGAACAGTAAGGCAGGAGGAGGTGCTTGCATAGTGGATGGGAAAGGTTTAGAGGGATATGGGCCAAATGCGGGCAAATGGGACTAGTTCAGTTTAGGAAATGTAGACAGCACGGACCAGTTGGGCTGAAGGGCCTGTTTCCATGCTGTATGACTCTATGAACTGGGTCTGCCAAGTTGGAATATTTCTGTACTTGGGCTTAGCTGGATTGAAAATCTGGCCTTTTTTAAGCTTGTCTCTAGAGTTGCAACTTTAACTGGATTAGCATTCCTCAAATAAATATTCTTTGAGGCATGGAATCATAGAGTCCTACAGCACGGAGACCAAACTGCTCCTTGCCGACCAAAATGTCCATCCACACTAACCCCATTTCCCTCCACTTGGCCCATATCCTTCGAAACCTTTCCTATTCATGTATTTGTCCAAATGCATGTTAAATGTTGTTAATGTGCCCACCTCAGCCACTTCCACTGGCAGCTTATTCCATATGCGTACCACCCTCTGTGTAAAAAAGTTGCCCTTCAGGTTCCCATGTATTCTTTCCCCTCTTACCTTAAACTGATGCCCTCTAGTCCTCTGTTCCCCAACCCTGGGAAAAAGACTGAGTGCATTCACCCTATCCATGCCTCTCATGATCTTATATACTTCTATAAGATCCCCCCTCAGTCTCCTATGCTCTAAAGAAAAAGTCCTGGCTTGTCCAACCTCTCCCTATAACTCAGTCCCTTGAGTCCCGGCAACATCCTTGTAAATTTCTTCTGCACTCTTTCCAGTTTAATAACATCCTTCCTATAGTAAAGTGACAAAACTGAACACAATACTCCAAGTGTGGTCTCACCAACATCCTGTACAACTGCAACATAACTTCCCAACTGCTGTACTCAGTGCCCTGACTGATGAAGGCCAGCGTGCCAAAAGCCTTCTTCACTGCCCTGTCTACCTGTGACTCCACTTTCAGAGAAACGTGCACCTGAACTCTAAGGTCCCTCTGTTCCACTACAGTCCTTAAGGACCTACCATTCACCATGAAACTTCTACCTTGATTTGACTCTCCCAAAACACAATACCTCACACTTATCTATATTAAACTCCATTTGCCATTTCTCGGCCCACTTCCCCAGCTGATCAACATCCTGCTGCAATTTCTGATAACCTTCCTCACTGTCCACAATACCGCCTATTTTAGTGTTATCCACAAACTTACTAATCATGCCTGTTCATTCTCATCCAAATCATTGATATCAATAACAAACACAATGGGCCCACCACCGACCCCTGAGACACACCACTAGTCACAGGCATCCAGTCCAACAAACGTCCTTCCACTATTACTCTCTGCTTCCTACCATCAAGCCAATTGTGTATACAATTTGCCAACTTTCCATGGATTGCATGTGATCTAACCTTCCAGAGCAGCCTACCATGTGGAACCTTATCAAAGGCCTTACTGAAATCCATATAGACTACGTCTACCGCCCTGCCCTCATCAACCTTCCTGGTCACTTCATGAAAGGACTCTAACAAATTTGTGAGGCATGATCTCCCACACACAAAGCCATGCTGACTACTCCTAATCAAACCCTGTCTTTCTAAATGCATGTATATCTTATCCCTCACAATCTTCTCAGGTAACTTACCTACTATAGATGTTAAGCTTACTGGTCTATAATTCCCAGGATTTTCTTTGCAGCCCTTCCTGTACAACATTCGCTACCCTCCAGTCTTCTGTGGCTAACGATGATGCAAATATATCAGCCAGGGCCCCTGCAATTTCTTCCCCAGCCTCTTGCACTTTGGAATTAAACAATTTAATAGCAAACAATGTTGAATCAGTATTCATCCTGTTTGGTTGATCTCTCTCTCTTCTCATTTCTTTTTCTTCCACTTGAAGCAGGAACTTTCTCGAGCAGTTGTGAGATGTTCAAAGATATATCTGGATCCAATAACCTGTCCGTGTTCCCATCCATTGAGTCCAACAGTCAGAGGACAGAAGCAAACATCCTGTTTCATCCTGAAGGTGAATACAGCCCAGTGCCGTCAGCTTCACCCACTCTCTCTCCACTGGATTTGAAATCTATGTCTTTGTTGGAGAAGGCAGGCACACTGAGCAATGTGGAAACCATGCCTACAACATTATCCCTCCCGAGGCCAGGGGAGCCAGGAGCTCCTTCTCTTCCCCCTGAACTTGAAGCAGAGTCTGATGGAGCCTGTAGTAATTCCAGTGATGCTGCATTTTTGCCTTTGCGTTCCCGTGCACCGTGACCAGTCACCATCCTGAAACTGACCTGCGTTGAAAACCCATGGATATTGATGTAGAAAATCACACAGTGTCCGATGTTTATGGTTCTATATGTCTTTGTTAAATTTGGGTACAATACTGGTTGCTTTTGTAAATGTATAATTGCCTTAAGTTTTGTGTTACATTTCCTATGAGCAAAGCCCCTGCTCTTCACAGCATGAAGCAGTTATTCCCATCTTTATGAGCTTTCCAGCAGCTGTGGGAGCTGGCAAAGTGTCACCGGTAACTTTACTGACTCTGGGTCAGCGTGTGTGTTTGTGTCTGTGTGTCTGACTGTGTCTGTGTGTATGTGTGTGTGCGCGCACGTGTGTCTGACTATGTTTGTGCGTGTGCGCTGTCTCATTATCTGGTGTGTCTGTGTCTGTGTGAGTGTGAGTGTACACATGGACCTTCCACACACTGGGAGAAGGAAACCATTGAGTTCTTTATGGCGATAAGCTCTGTGGCCTGTAGCTGTAATACCACAGTATACTGGGTGCTGCCATGTTCTTGGCCCTGCTGACTGCTTTACAGGCACCAGGACAGTGACAGAGGAGAACCTTATGTGGTTGCAGTAGGCGATAAGATTGGGCCAGAGCACCGTGCGCGCGTGTGTGTGCTCCACCCAACCCCTCCACCACCCACCCCAGACTGGGGCAGTGGGAGAACACCCTCTTTCACTTTCACTGGGCCAGCTCTCCCAGCAGGTGATTGGGGAACTAGTGAGTCAAGGCCCATAAATGGCCAAACATTATCCACATAAGGGTCTTTGTTGCCAGCACAGCAAGGAAGTTTCCAAGGGGTATAACTGCCCAGGTTTCTCTCCAGGGCCAATCTGCCTAATTATTCCCCCTTTTCACCACCTCAGAGAGGGGAAATAATTCCTGCTCTTTGACTCTATAGTAACCCATGCTCATACTGACATAACCAATTTAATTCTATTCACTCACTTGCATTTTATTTGTTTTAAATCTGTACATAGGAAATTCAAACATAACCCTCAAGCGTTCATTTTCTGCTACGTAATCATCATAATGGGGCCTATTGGTGTTGACTTCTTTGCGATAGAAATTCTTTTGGTTTTTGTTGATGTATTAACAAGTAGAAACCTAACCTGAGAAGGAATAATGTTCTCAAATCTTTTATCCTGCCAGATGACTGGAGGTAAACGGGAAAGATGTGAGTGGGCTCCTGTGTTTTTTTCCTATAGAAATCTCCATAAAATGTGGGGGGAAGAAAATGTGTCATTTATTTGTTGCCTTATCACAACTTTCCAGATCCCTCCAAATACACGTCATACTGAACAAAAGTGTCTTGAAAGTAACTTAATGGGTGTTATGTAGATGAACCTAGCAGCTATTAAATGCACAAACTTCAGACAACAGGGAGGTGAATAACTGGTTGATTAATAACTGCTCTTTGACCTCAGATGGTCAGGATGGGTCTGGTCCTCCGAGACTCCCTGCTGCTGTGTAAACAGTTTAATTCATCCTCTGAAATGAGGAAGTGGAACATTATAGCTGATCTGGAAGTGGGATCTCCTACATCAGAGCATTTTCCCAGTATCAACATGTTGCAAATGTACAGCACACGTTTCGTGAAATTGTAGTTAGAAACATTTGCGCTATTTTTAATTTTTAACGTGTCATTTTTGCTTTTGTTAATGCTTCACTTTATCTACTAACTCACTGTTTTTCTTGTATTTGAATGTACCACACTGTGAACTTAAGAAAGGAATGGTAATGTCTGTAATTATTCAGGTAGCTGTCAGTGTCTTTTCCAATTGGAAAGCAGTGGGATGTATTTTGTTGCAGACCTCTTCAGTCCGTCAAATGAGGAACCCAACTAAACACACCCTGAAAAGGGCAGAGACCTTCACCTTTCCATCAGGTTATGGAGGATACACAGCACAAAAACAGGCCATTGGGCCCTTCCATGTCTGGCCAGCGATTAAGCTCCATTTGCCCCCCCCTCCTTCAACTTTCCTCATCTAACTCTTATCATCATAACCCTCTATTCAATCCCCCTTCACAGGTTTCTCCAGCTTCCTCCTAAAAGTACTTATGGAGTGGTTGAAATGAACAGGATGACACCACAAGAAATAGGAACAGGAGTAGGCCATTCTGCCCCTCGAGCCTGTTATGACATTCCCCATATCACTTTCCTACCTTTTCCCCATAACTTTGATTCCCCGACTGATCACGAATCTATCTCTCTCAGCCTTAAATATACACAAGGACTCTGCCCCCACAGCTCTCTGTGGCAAGGAGTTCCAAAGACTCTCAACCCTCTGGGAGAAGAAATTCCTCCTCATCTCAGTCTTAAATTGGTGCCCCTTTATTCTGAGACTATACCCTCTGGTCCTAGACTCTCCCATGAGGGGAAACATGCGCTCAGCATTGACCCTGTCAAACCCCTTAAGAATCTGATATGTTTCAATGAGATCACCTCCCATTCTTCTAAACTCCAGTGAGTAGAGTCCCAACCATTTTAGCCATTGATCATAAGACAATCTCTCCATATTGGGGAGCATTGCAGTTCCATGTGATTTCATTTATTATTATCGCATGTACTGAGATACAGTGAAAAGTATTGTTTTGCTTGCTATCCAGGCAAATCATCCCTTACATAAGTACATCAGGGTAATAGAGTAGAATGTAGTGTTATAACTGCAGAGAAGATGCAGAGAAAGATCAACTCTGATATATGAGGGGTCCGTTCATAGGTCTGATAATGGCGGGGAAGAAACTGTTCTTAAATCTGTTGGCCTGTTTTCAAACTTTGATCTGCACATTCTCACTACTGTCTGGGTGAAGTGATTCCTTCTGAACTCCCAATTAGATTTCTTATATTGATGACTTCTGGTTATACTTTTCTCCACAAAAAAAACGTTCACTGCATCAAAATCTTCTGTCATGATAAACGCCTCTATACGGTCACCACTCAGCTGCGTTCCCTCCCTCTTCGCTCACAGGGTGAGAGTAAAGTTTACCAAAGATCTACATTCTGGGAAGGCTCCAAGATTCAATTCCCAGTCACTCATGGAATCTTAGCGGAAAAGCCAGAGAGCAGCTTGGAGCAACAGCCAGACTGAGCTGGGTTCAGAACAGAATTGATGACTGCACTCAATCTCAAATAGATGAAGTGGCTATAGAATTGAGCCCAATGCTCACACTGCTTTGCTCAATTCCATGAGGAATATATCTTACACCGTTTACATAGGAAGTAGGCCATTCAGCCCATCAAGTCTTCTCTGCCATTAAACGAGATCGTGATAATCCTCAACTTCACTTTCCTACCTACTCCCCATTACCCTTGATTCCCTTATTGATTAAAAATCTGTCTGTCTCAGCCTTAAATATATAACCCAGCCTCGACAGTTCTCTGTGGTAAAGAATTCCACAGACTCACTCCCCTATGACAGAAGAAATTCCTCCTCATCTCTGTCGTAAATGGGTGACCCCTTACTCTGAGATGATGCTCTCTGGCCCTAGACTCTCCCACAGGAGGAAACAACATCTCGCATCGACCCTCCAAGCCCCTGATGTGTTTCAATAATGTCTGCTCTCATTCTTCAAAACTCCAATGGGTCCAGGCCCACTCCACCCACCGTCATCTCATTAGACACACCCTCCATACCTGGTATCAGCCTAATGAACTTTCTCTGGACTCTATCCAATGCCAGTCTTTCTTTCCTTAAATAAGTGCCCAAAACTCTGCAGTATTCCATCTGTAGTCTGACTAATTCCTTGTACAGTTTTAGCAACACTTTCCTATTTTTATATCCCATTCCCTTTGAAATAAAGAACAAAACTCCATCTGCCTTTCCTATTTTTCAGTGATCTCGAACACTATCTTTTTGGGATTCATGTACGGAGGCTCTCAAGCCCCTCTGTTCCATAGCTTTCTGAAGTCTTTTTCTATTTAAATAGTATGTTCTGGTGGATCATATCAAACAACAGTCTATTTGGCTATTCAAAACGAGACCCTGTACCCAACCCGGCCACATTCACAAAATCCACAACCCACTCTGTAACTTTCAATGTGATTCTCTAATTGAACACTATATGCTGGATAATCCTGAGTGCGTGAAGGACAACATTCAGGCTCACAGTGTAGTGCATCTGTGTTTACTGGAAGTAGTCTATATTGCAGGGCAGAACCTTATTCTTTGCAGGCAGAATGTGTTAACACTGTGTGCCTGGTTCAAATCATCAAAATAGTTGGACAATATTTGCTGGTTCACTTCTCAGCCCTGACCAAACACAGTCAATCTGGCCTGATTTAAAATTTAGACAAAGCCTGGCAATGAACTGTCAATCATCATTAGGGGATCAAGGATTATGGGGAGAAAGTGGGAGAATGGGGTTGAGGAACATATCAGTCATGATTGAATGGCAGAGCAGACTCGATGAGCTGAATGGCCTAACTTCTGCTCCTGTGTCTTATGGTCTTATTAATGGGTGCATTCTCCACGGTAATCTCTCTACCAATCAGCACTCTTTGCTCATACAGTATAAATGTTGGTTATTCCTTTAATTGGTGCACCTTGCCCCAATAGGCTAATTGAAAACAAAATGTCTGTTTTCAATAATAATTGTAAAACTGTTACAGTCCAAGGGGAGGCCATTCAGCCCACTGTATATGTGCTGCCTTTCCCAAACTAGTGCCATTCTCCTGCCTTCTCCTTCATAATCCTGCAAATTGTTCCATTTCAAAGAATAGTCCAATTCTGTTTTGAACACCTCGGTTGGACCTGTCTCCATCTCTGACTCAGACACTCATGATGTCAATCACTTTAAATCTGTGCCCTGTCATTCTCAATTCTTCCACCAATATTTCTCCCTATCTACTCTGTTTTTGAGCACGGTTTTCCTTCTAGATTTAAAAGAAAATCCCAAATTCTCTGATCTATCTTTCTGACTGAAAAAAAATGGCAACAGGGAAGTCTCCACACTGCATTCATTGGCATTTCAACCTGTTTAATACAAAATATTTTAACACCCAACTGCTGTAATGTGTGGGGTCCTCATTCTCGCTGTTCTGCAAGAATGTGCTGATGTTTAATTCCTTGCATAAATGAGGAAGTTTGTACACAATATGTCGTGACGAATATCTTGTGAAAGAACAGACTTTTAAGGTACTTCGGAGATTGATGTTTTGAGTGGGCTGCTATTATGGATCTGTCTCTGAACTTGTAAAATCGTGAGACATGATCAGGGTGATCCCACAAGATATTTGCACTACTCGCAGTTCCACTGGCCTGACGTTACTGAAGCTATCAGCACCTGGGAGTCTTGGTTTTATCATTTTCCCAGCATTCTGTAAAATGTTTGGGTGCTAAAATGGATCAGCTTGTATGTTGAAGAGGCGTTAGAAACTGATTCATAACAATGTTCATGAGACTCCTGATTTAAATCGAACATTTCAGAATTTGAGTCAAACTTTCTGGTTTCTGACATGACCATAAGGTGTGGGAGCAGAACTAGGCCATTTGCTCCATCGAGTCTATGTGGAGTATTTAATTCAATCCATGTGTAAATAGTTATCTCAGGGTTTAATGATAACTCGGGGCATCAGTATCAATCACTACTCAACTCGGATTCAGTTCTGTTGGTCATTTGATTATAATGGCTGTCAACAATTAGCTGGTGGAATGTAATGCATTCGATTAAGCAACCTCCTGGTAAATGGTGATGGACTTTTCTTTTGATTTAATTAGTTAAAATACAATATTTCTAAATTGTAATCTTGCCATTGGTCTCTGTGAATTGTTTCTGATGTTCAAATCCCCTGCTTTCCCCCTTTCGGCTAAAGGATTGTTCCTCATGCATTTCCAAGTGAACCAGGAGAGCAGAGGATCATTGTCAGCAGACACTGGGATCTGATTTCCTCAGGGAATGAGAGCTGTCTGCTCTAGAAACCTGCTTTAACCAAGGCTGGTATGAAAACTGAAACTGAATGCATGGTGGCAAATGCTCAGTACTTGGGATGAGGGGTGGAGGAGCACAGGTAGTTCTGCTATAACACGTGTTTCCTTAAGGCGAATTGGCTTGATGAATAGTGGGCGCTGCTTGGATAACATGAACTTTCTGCTGTACAGGTACAGCGACTTTCCATAGCAATTTCCTTATAACGCAATTTTCTATAGCGCAAGGTCACGCAACTATGGCATTGTAGGAGAACT